GGTATCAGATCTCCAGGAGTAGCCTTCATGATATCCACCTGACAAATTGGGCAATGCATAGCCCATGTTCCCCCCACATCGAGAGAGGCAACTGGGTTATCCCCAGAAATCTGAGACCTGCTTATCTCCATCACTGACTTTGAAGTGCTCCCTTCTAGTTCCCAGCCTTGCTGCCTTTATCAAGTCACATTAGTAGGCTGTTTTCTCTCCATCTTTCTGTGAAGGGTTTTCCCTTCCCAGGAGCATTTCAAGACCTTTTTGGGAGGAAGGTTTCTATGCAATTCCCTCTCCCTGATCCTGTAGGGCTGATCCCTTCTGTGCCCACTAACTCTGCTATTTCAGCCAAAGAGGACTGCTGGGGTGTGACATAAAATGCTCAATTCCTAAGGAAGGAAGCATGTTAACTCCACAGACCTGCCACCCCAGAGAGTGGGTATCCAGCCTCTGACCCTCTGCATGGCAGCAACGTTGCCTGGTCACTGGGCTGGTGCTGAGTATGCCTTGGAGATGGTTTCATTTAATGAATATGCCCTCAGTTCTCTCTGACAGCAATTATAGCCCCTGTGCAACCAACACAAAAGAGAAGAATCCAGCCTTCATTTCTTCCTGCTTTCCTTGCCCCTGCCTCCTCCTTTCATGCTCTTTGTTCATCCTTCCTTCCTCTCCCCTAGTTCTCAAATGCCTCTGCATTCCCTGGGCAGGGAGTGAAGTAAAGTCACAGCAGGACAACCCAGCTGTTGCTTTGCTGTGGAGCTGCGTGATGAGGTGAGGGGCCTCATTATAAATGCCACAGAGAGTCCTGTGGGACTTTTAAGACTAACAGATGTATTGGAGCATAAGCTTTCGTGGGTGAATGCCCACTTCGTCGCATGCATCCGACGAAGTGGGCATTCATCCACGAAAGCTTATGCTCCAATACATCTGTTAGTCTTAAAGGTGCCACAGGACTCTCTGTTGCTTTTTACAGATCCAGACTAACACAGCTACCCCTCTGATTATAAATGCCGTGATTTCCCCCCCTCACACACACACCCAATCTATTTCTGCTAAAATGAAGCTCTTTTGCTAATGAAAAATCTGACAGAAATGGAGAAAACGCCAGCAAGAACTGGAAGCTTTGAAGAAGGAGGGAGGCACAAAGCAAATGATAAACAGTGTGGTTTTCATGTGGCACTTTGACCTGGTTGTCTTATTCCATTACTGGAGACAGCACCTAAGCTTCCTGCTGAGGTAGCCCTCACAACAGAGTCAATATGGCCCACATTCAGCCTTAACGTGACTCCACAGATACATTTGGCCCCAGGGGGTCTTGCAGGGACTCCAAGGACTGCAGCATCAGGCCCTTCAGTATTGCAAATGTACAGTATTACCATCACTGGTCTGATGGTGCAGGAACCTCCTGGTGGGACATGAACGTATTTCATTCAATGGGAACAGCGTACAAATAAAACAATTCTTTTTCTGAGCTTCCCTCCACCGCTCTGCCAGTGCTTCTCAGTCCTGACCTGCAGCACCCCTGCTAGTCCCATTCTGGGGGCCCGCACAGCTCTGCTGAAGCACCTCACTTGTGACATGCCCCACCTCCTGGTTCGCTAGCCCTGAGCTTCCACGCCACTCTGTGGATGAATCTACAGTACTTCACTTCCTCTCCAGGCCCTGCTCCTCTAATGAGCAGGAATCCCCAGTGGTATCAAAGTTTACTACCTTTTTCCCTTGATGTGCTGTGATACCCCATAACTCGCAGGAGGCCTGCTTTTCATGTGGGAATGTGACCCAGATAGGAACCTTGGCCTCCACAGGCAAACTCACTGACCCAGTACTGGGGAGCACTTCCATACAAATTCCTTCCACAGTCACAGGCTTTCTGGTGGATTTATTTATTTATTTTTAATCCACACAGTAACTTACTTGCTCCCACAGCAGCAATGGCAGCTTTGTTGTGGGAGAAGAGTGCCCTCTTGTGGCACCAACTTCATTCTAATTCCTCTTTTCCACTCTCCGCTCTTCCCTTATTAGTCAGGATCTCTTTTGCACTCCCTGCCCTTGTTTGTCATTTCCCTGGGGCAAGGGGTAGGCTTTCCTTTTCCCTCACCAGGCTTTTCTATCATCCTTGCTTTTATTGTTTATTTATACTGCTTTCCAAGATCTACGTATCCAGCAGGTCATGATTTTATCACTTGGATCCTTTTCCCTTTGAAATGCTCTTGTATTTCCTTCCCCACATTTTCACTCTGTTCCAATCTCATTTTCTCTTTTATTTCCTCTGCTCCCAGTTTCCCCACCCACCCACCCACTCTGCTCACCCAAAACCTTCTCCCCCTGCTTTTTAACCTCTCCAATTCCCGCTGCACATCAAATTCACTTCTTTGTGCTGCTTCTGGATTCTCCCCTCCTTTGCACCATCATCACTCCATCAGCCCCAAGCCTTGCTTCTGCTGAGCTGCACTTGGTACAGGAGTTTGAGAGGTGAGGGCAGCCTTTCTGCTCCCAGACTCCAAGCACGGGATTGATCCCCTAGGTCTGGGGGGGTCCCAAGACCCCTATCTAAAGAACAGGTGCAGCAGAGGAAGTTTAGTACAGGTCTCATCTGCACTGCCTCTCTTTCTGCCTCCAGCTACAGCTGCAAGAACCACTGCTTGAGCTGTGAGAGCAGGTAGTTCAGCACTCCAGTTTCATTCAGTCCTGGCCTGTCAACTAGGATGTAGTGCTGGCTTTGTGAAATGGACACTTGCCCATAGGGATAGTACAGAGACCCAGACACTCATCTCCCCCCATAGACCACCAAGCAGTCACTAGATTCAGGCTTGCAGCCTAGGAGAGGAAGGTTATAGATTCCACTACAGTCACCTGGAATATCCAGGCCCTCAACAGGAGGGGATTAAGAAATAAATCTCACACCCAGGATGTGAGTTATCCTCAAAACTCTTTCTCTGTTCACTCGTGTTTATCCCCGGAACCAACCTCTCTCAGTCTCTGTATTTCCAGAGCTCGTACCTTGGTTTTTATATGCAGGCCCTTTGTTCCTCACACTGTGCGTTGAATGCTTCACTGGCAGGGGACTGTAAGACCATGGGTGCTCACCCCACCAGAGACAGGTAGTGTGGTATTTACCATTCATGCCCCTATGCTACGTGGGGCGAGTTACTTTGTGCTGAGTGTGAGGCCCCCTAGAGAAATCAAGATGGCTTCCTCTTTGCCATGGTCCTGGCTGGGGCATGTCCTAGGCTCCACGTGCAGAAGCCAGTATTGCCAACTATCATGATTTCATTGTGACTCTTGTGATTTTTAATGTTTCTCTTAAAGCCCCAGCTACTGGAAGCATGATTTGCATGAAAGCCTCAGCTTTCCTATACAGATAAAGAAGCGTCTAGCCCTGCGGTTAGCAGAGCAAAGCTTGAAGATGTGAAGCAAGTGTACCTGAAGCATTCAGAAACCAGAAGGTAAATGAAAAGAACCCAACTTTAAAAACATGATTTTTTTTTTAAGCCAGACTCCTGATTTTTGAAGGTTTGTAGTTGGCAGAATAAGAAAACCCCATATTTCCCCTAATTTACAGTTACACCCCAATATCCCTGTATAGACCTGACCTCTCCCCCACCCTTTTGTCTGGAATAGGGGCAGGACAGGAAGGGAGATCAAAGGCAGTCTTACAGCTTGCTGCTGGAAGGCCAACTCAGATGGTATCACGGCGTATGTGGGAGCACTGTGCCTTGGGTTCACTAGCATTAGTGGAGGGAGGGTGTGTCTTGTAAAATGGCTTTGTCTATATCAGCGTGTGTGCAACGGTGGACTCACCGCTGGGGCTGCCCCTCACAGCTGGGCATGGGAGAGCAGCTCTGTAGTGTCCCCACAAGTGGTCCTCCTCTTCTCATAACTCAGCACTGCAGCATGGTCACAGTTAGTCTCACCTCTTCTGGGCTAATAGAGCCCAACAAATAATTCCTTGTCAGGTCTCTGGCTCCTGACTCTTGGCCCAGTGGTTTGGACATACTTCTCTCCAGGCTCTGACCTATCCTTATTCCCCCTACATCAGAGGGGAATCACCCCACCCTCACACTAGCTGGTAGGGGAATCCAGTCCCACGCTGGGTTCCAGTCCAGGGACCCTAGGACAAGCGGCCAAGGTCTGCTCCATCAGACACTTGCTGCCGTCTCTCAGGACTCCTTCCTACCATTAGCTTTTCTTTGGGTCTTTTTCGCCAGCCTGTTCCTGGGCTCTTTGTAACAAGCAACAACCTCCCAGGGCTTCCCCCTAGAGTCCTGGTTCTTGCCCTTGTGTCAGGATCAACCGCAGGAGCTTGCCCCAATCCTCTGTCTTCTAGGTATCTTCCCTCCTTGATCTTCCTCCTTGCCCTGCAGGCCTCCCTGTTCCCCACAGCACTCTCCCCTCTCTAGGGCCAAGAGAGTGGCTGGAGAATTCTTCCCTCATCCCCTGCAGCCCTTCACACTCCAGTCCCAGATACCCCTTAGGCTTCACTGCCTCCAGCTTCCTTCTGGCTCAGAACAACCTGCCCCCAGATACCCAGGCTTCCTCCTGACTCAGAACTCTCTAATTCTAGCCCTAGGCCTCTTTCTGCCTTTAGCCCAAGAGAGGAAACATCCAGCTACCCCTCTGCTGAGTCACCTCCCTGGTCTCTTTCCCACTACCCTGAGCTCCTTCCTCTATGAAGACCCAGCTCCCTACCAGCTGGGCTTGCTCACCAACTAGGCCTACCACCCACTCAGGTGCCACCCAGTGGCCTAATTGGGCTCAGGCTCCTGTTAATCCTTTCATTACCTGTGTGGGGTACGTACCCCATCACACAGGGCTTCATACAGTATCAGGTTCATGGAGCAAAACACATCATGGTGCTGGCCTGTGTACTGGTGCAGCCTTATTGAAGTAGTGGCATTCTAAGGGAGTTCTGGGATTACTGTGTATAAAGCACCATACATTTGCATGGCACCCTGCAAACACAGGGTGCTTACACTCACCAATAGAATAAAGACACAGGACAACAGTTCAGGTGGAGAGATTTTTAATGAGGACAACAAGGTAGGCAGGTTTCAGGAAGAAGAGGGTTTAAGGAGGGTTTCAAGTATTGTTGGAAGGAGGTATTTGGAGGACAGGAAGTGGAGATTTGTTCCAAATGTAGGAGAGAGCATGACCGAAGGTACAAAGCTGCCAGCGAGACAGAGAGAAAAGGAGCAAGGAAAAGACAGGATAGGGAGTAGAAGGGTGGGGGTTAGAAATTCAGAGATTTAGACAGAAATAGGATTATTTAAAGGCATGAAGGTAAAGACAGAGCTTGGATTAGATGCAGTATGAAATAGGAAGGCAGCGCACATGTGTTCAGGAGGGGGGGCTGGGGTGATGGGCTGCAGTGAAAAAGAGAAAGATGGTTTCAGTAGAAGGTAGGGAATACTTGAGGGACAGAGAGGAAAAGAATAATAATATTTAGTTATATAGCAATGCGCACTGCAGCACTGCCCCCCCCTTAACAATGGTGGGCAAGCATCTTTATCCCCATTTTACAGATCAATTAATGTAGGCACAAAGATGAAGATGCCCAAGGTCACCCATCCACTCAGGAACAGAACTCCTCCCTGCCAGTCCGGTGTTCTACCTAAGGTGCTTAAGCACTCATCGCTGTAGTCTCTGAGCATCTCATCATCTTGTGTGTGTTATCCTCACAACACCCCTGAGAGGCAGGGCAAGGCTATTATCCCCATTGTACAGGCGGGGAACTGAGACACAGAGAGACTGAGCGACTTGCCCAGCATCACACAAGGAGACTGTGGTGGTGTAGGCAAGTGAACACTGGTCCCCCCACACCCATGATAACACCCTAGCTGCTGGACCAGCCTGCCTGTCCACTGACCTACTCTGCCTCCAATGAGACCAGGTGTAACAGAATGAAACTGAGCAAAAGAAATGTAGGCTGAACATTAGGAATATTTTCCATACAGCGAGATCTTGACCTATTAGCGCCTGCTCCTCCTCTCACACAGGTTGTACACCGGTGTAACTCCACTCCAGATCTCCAGCTGGGATAAATCATCATAGCTCCATTGAGTTCAACAGAGCTATGCAGAGCTACACAACCTGCGGATTTAGCCCAAGGCCAACTTCCATAGAGTTACACCTGGTTTATGCCACTGTAAGCGAGTGCAGAATCAGGTCTCTTGAAGCTGGAAAAGTTTCCTAAGGGAACTGGAGGAATACCCATCATGTTGAAATAAGGTAAAATCCTACTGAACAAAGCATTCAAGAATATATAGCAGGAAACAATCTGCACTGACCCCTGGGAGTTGGATTACATGACCTAAAAGGACTTTTCCATCTCTAAGGCATAGGAAGCTGAGAACCAGCTTAGTTTATGGACCCTCTTCTTAAAACCCCAGTAGCCTGTATCCCCTTGCTGCCTCTGCTGCCACAATACTAATATTGATCTACAACCTAAGTACTGGCCAATGCTTCCACCTCAGACGCTAAACATGTGTTGGAAGGAGCAGTTTCCTCTGAGGAAGCAGAAGAGGCAGAAGTCTTCTCATCAGCATCCCCTGCTTTGATTACTCTGATGGAGTTTTCTTTCTTTGAAAGCCAGAAAGCAGGGTAGAGCGGCTCAGCAAATTCACACTCAAACTTGTGTATCAGAGTCATGGTGTCCGAGGTGACACCATAGAAGGACAAAGTGCCCTTGGGGTAGTCCAGATAGACCCCTATCCTGTTGAACATGTCTGTTTTCAGTGGCGTCTCCACATCACTGTGCCATGCAGAGAACCCCTTGCCATGCCACTGGATGCTCCAGGAGAAGTTATTCCCCGAGATGCAGCTGTTGCTTTCTGACCCCTTCCGGTCAATGCTTTTGTACGTCATACCAATGTAAATGCCGGCTCCGCTTATTTCAGCCTCAAAGTAGTAGCGACCCATGTACAAGCTGTTGTCTGACAGCACCTGGCGCCAGTGCTCAAATCTTTCAGGGTGATCTGGGTAGGAGTGTTCCCAGGGTGTGGTGTTAGTCACTTTGTGGTTGTCCTCCAAGAGCCTGAGATATCTGTGGGCTGTGACTGAGTCAAACGTTAATGGGCATGAGTCTAAATAGAAAAGAAAATTGTTACTGAAATGGCTAACGTGGCCTCTCCAGTGGGCACTCTCCATGTTGGTTAGCCCAAGATATGAGCTATGGATCCTACTCCACTACTATACACACTCCATTACCTGAGCATCACTGGGCAACTGAATACCTTTGTATAGCCCAGGCGATTTTCACCGGGATTGAAAGAAGCTCTGGCCATGCTCATGTTTCAGCCGATAACAATTAAGACAACTAAGATACAGATAATCCAAGATAAACTACATAACCAGATCACTCTCTAGAAACTTCTTCCAAACTCCCATTCCCCTCTCCCCCAGAGCCTCATCTGCTTTAGAGTCATTAATTCCAATACTTACACTTGAGAAAGTCACTCCGTGTCTCTGGATCTGGAGCCGATATGCGGTGCCTGGATGGTACAATTGCAGACACCATCGTTTTGATCCCACAGTCCTCTTCAACAACAAAAAGACAATTAGCATTCCCAGAACTAACCCTGTGAGTTTGTTCGAGGTGGGATACCAATAGCATAGGGGAATGGAGCATATGCTCCATGCCATTGCTGTCTGACAGAGGGATAGAATATAAGAATGGCCATACTGGGGCAAACCAATGGTCCTTCTAGCCCAGTTTCCTGTCTTCCAGCAGTGGCTGGTGTCAGATGTTTCAGAGGGAGTGAACAGAACAGGGGAATTAGCAAGTGATCCATCCCCCTCATCCAGTCCCAGCTTCTGGCAGTCAGAGGTTTAGGGACACCCAGAGCATGGTGTTGTGTCCCTGACTATCTTGGCTAATAGCCATTGATGGACCGATCCTCCATGAAGTTATTTCATTCTTTTTTGAGTCCGGTTATACTTTTAGCCTTCACGACATCCCCTGGCAATGAGTTCCACAGGTGGACTGCGCGTTGTGTGAAGACCTGTTCTATTACATTGTTATCAGGATTAAGAACCAGCAGTCTGGTTCCACGGACATTTAATTTGAACAAATAGTTTCATGAGCACACACAAACATTGGGCCCGATTCTGATCTCTCACTGCTAACTCCATCCTTCGACTCTCTGCACTTTGGGGTCAGAGCAGTGGAACAGCCCCTACCAGAACAGGACCTGGAATGGAGCTTCTAGGCACTACTGCAGTGGTTTTCATTTGCAGACCCCTAAACATTTTCAAATGGAGGTGCGGACCCCTTTGGAAATCTTAGACAGCCTGATCCCCGAGGTCCACAGACCACAGGTTGAAAACCACTGCACTGCTGTAACACAAATGACAATCAATATCATCATCAGTGTGACGCTGGCGTGAGTGAGATCAGGATGAGGCCCGCTGAATCCTGGCCTCCTGGGACTTTGTGTAAACAATAAAGGGAAACATGATGTAGAAGAGTCACGCACAAAATGTCACCTGCCGAGACCTTCTAGGTGGCTTGCAGAGCTACATCTGTCTCAACTATGGCTAGGGAATACTCCTGGCAAGTTACTCCAGCCTAAAGGCAGTAGAAGGGCTGAAGAGCGGATTGGGTAGCTTAGTGTCTCAAACGCACGAAAAGGGCTGCACTTAACCCCACATCTCTTCAGACATGCCTAGTCTTGGTGCCTGCCTTGCCTCTTGCACTCAAGTGTTAGGGAAGTAGGGGTGAGGTGCGGTTGAGACTTATTCAGTGCAACGGACAATGCCTGGTGCTTGATTGTATTTGTGCAGGCGCATGTACAGCAGAGTGCTACAGCCTCACAGTTCCTGCTGCACACCACCCTAGGAAGGGCACTCTTGGCTGGTGTAGCACAGTCCAGGACATTTTTAGGGCTTCGTGATGTTTCTCTGATCAGCTAAACTCAAAACACAAGACCCACTCTGTACCCTAGGCAGCTGCTTCATGTCCTTCCTTGCCAGGTGTTTCTCTGGCATAAACCCAATCATACTCAAGCGTGGAGAAATGGGAGGGAGAGCAAACCCAGAGGAGAAAAGAATCAAACTGCAAAGCAACAGGTGGAGATGAGAGCAGTCAGAGCTGCAGGTCAGTCCCAATAAAAGTAAAGTCCTTCATTCAGGGAGAGTCAATAAACAGCAAGATAGAAAACAGGAGAGGTGAGACTATAAGAAATCAGCAACAGCTATCACATTGTACCCACTGAAGGGCAGGACTGAAATCATGGGGGAATGGGAGAAGCAATAGCTTGAGATGACAAAGGTAAATTTCTATGCTGGGGCTAGGATGGGCGTCACCAGCCCTATGCCACTGGTATGAAGGGAATCCCCATGTGACTGGTTAAGCTGCCTTTCTGGCTGAGTGTCACCAAACAGCCAGCTCATGGAGGATAATTGTGGGCAATGTTTATAGAGCATTTGGAGATCCCTGGATGGACAGCAGTAGAGAAGGACAAAGTATTATTATTAAATTGCAGTACTCGTTTATTCCAGAAAAAAAAAAAAAAAAAAAAACCTCCACATTTGCTGTAAATGCCACAACTCATATGGAGTTAAAACCTGCTAAATCACCATGGATTCCACAGCTCCCTCCCCTGTCCGTATGTTTCTCAAGGAAATAACTTCAGTCCCCAGGTGGCTGAGTTGATTCACACTGGGAAAGAGCCTGGTTTCCTTGCTGTCACCTCCAGCTCATACCTGACTTTGTGTCAAGACTAGGGTGACCAGACAGCAAGTGTGAAAAATCGGGATGGGGGTGAGGGGTAATAGGAGCCTATATAAGAAAAAGACCCCAAAATCGGGACTGTCCCTATAAAATCAGAACATCTGGTCACCCTAGTCAAAACTGCCAGCAAGGCAGGATTGATGCTGTGGCCTCCATAAAGCACTAGCACCTAATAGCAAATAGCCTTTGCTTTGCTGGGGAAAACAGGAGTGACTACATATAAACAAGTGGAATTGACGAGCGCCAGCTGATAACGTTAATGCATGGGAGGGTGAGGAATTCAGCTGGATCCTGTCAGACTCATATTGCTTATCAGATTTCTATTGTGGACTTAAAAGGCGTTAGGATGCAACCTAGGTAATATCCAGGCCTTTTCACATAGTAAATCATTAACTGCTGATTGCGGTGGGTTGATCATTTGAAAGAAAGACTGGGACAAAGTTAAATAGTGAGGGGAGGGGGAAATACCTGGAAGGTTTATACATTCTGCTTGCTCTCTTTTCTAATCACAATATTGTGCTTAAATAGAAACATCACCCCCAACTTGCACACCCCTTAATCAACCCACATTTCCCTCATGCTTGGACATCCAGTAAAATCGCAAGCTCTACATCACAATCTGTTACTATAGGAATCAGTGTGTGATGTTGCAAATCCAGCATGATGATCTCATTGCAGACATGAAGGATCGTCTGGTGGGTTCTATTCCTGACTCTGCCACTGTGACCTTGGGATTGTCAATTCCTGGGGGCCCGGGAAACATGCATTTTATCAGGGCCTCACTTTTGCCATCTGGTGACAGGACTAAAGTGTACACACACACACACACACACCTCTGCAAATGTGCATTTAAACAGCTGCAAGGCAGAGGGTGAGACTCACCTTCCTTTGCAAACTCCTGGAGCTTTTCCTTATAGGTGGTTTGTACAAGCTGTAGCAAGTGTTCTGTTGACTCTGAGATGACCCTTCTGATCCCTGACAGTTTATCTTTGAGTCCAATATAAACACTGGGAAGTGCGTCATCCCCTGTGTTCTTCTTGAGCTCACAATATTCCTGCCAAAAAAACAATTCTATTTTTGCTCATTTTCCTCATATATTTGGCTGATTTTGTACCAGATCCATCTCACCATGAAGTTACTAGCAAAATCCCAATTGACTTTAGTGGGAGCAGACTCTGACCCTTTCCATTCCATTGCAGCCCTGAAGAACTTAAACTCAGCTGATACAGGAACCTATATTATGGGAGATATTTAAGATCAGCTGAATATGAAGTTCACCAGATAAACTTTATGATTGTAAAGCTAAAGCCGAGGAACAGCAATCTCTGGACTTCACTACAAGCTTCCCTGTACTCTGAGGGCATTAGAAAAAGACGACCATGGTCATAAAATAATGAAGGAAACAACAGACCCCGCATTTATAATGAAATGACAATGTTGTTGGCTGTAGGCTAATAATGTATCTCAGCCAGTTCCAGGGAGAACGAAGAGAAGTCTTAGCAACTTCTAGAGATAAAGGTGTAGGGCAAAGTTCTATCATCTTCACCCAGGAGCTTTGCACAGTTTAGACTCAAACAAGGTGGCCTTTAGAGGTCTGAAACATTTTCCTTCTTTAAAAGCAAAGGTGAAAAAAATCTCTCCTTCTCTCTCCTCCTAGAAGATTTCAGAGCACTTTAGGGCTGGGAGACGCTTTTGACAATCCCAATCTTACACTCCACAGCCTAGGGAGGGCCAATCAGTTCTGAATTTGGAGTCAGAATCTCCATTTCAGGTTACAAGAGATGTTCTAAGAAGGCCTGGCACCATTTTTCAATTATAAAATGGCGCAATGCAGTCTGATCGTACTGCACACTTGACCTGAACACCTCAAACCAGACACTAATCTACAGACACACCATCCCCCAGGTCTTTATAATGGAAAGGCCTTGTCCATCATGGTACCTTAAGGAACAGGATGTCACTGGTGTAGAGGGCCATCTTCTCCAGCCTGAGTTTATTCTCTTCCATGGCAGCACACTTGTGCTCCAGATGGATCTTTATCCCATTGGCTTGATTCACCGCCACACGCTCCTTCTCCTCTAGAAACGCCAGTACATCCGAGTGGGCCATCTTGACGGCTTCCAACAGCTCCCCAAACTGCCCGGACACCAGGCTCTTCACTTCAGAGATAGAACTCTACAGGGACAAAAGCCACCACTGTTGCCTTTTCCAACCAGCCTCGCTGTGTCGCCATTGTACCTTCCTGGCAAATGCATCAGGATGTGCAAACAACATTTTCTAATCACTGTGGAGATGCCTCCGTAGCACAAAGGCAGTGACAGCAACAGCTAATCAGTGAATCCAAACCAAGGGACTGGAACCCACGGCCCCATTTCCAGCAGATCCTGGTCTCTTCCCTTATGCCCCAACACACCTCCACACACGCACGTACACACACCCTGAGAGCAGTTAAGGGCATTGGGTTTTGACTGACTGAGGGTCATAGCCAGGGAAATCCCTGTCTGTGACAGAAGGGTTAAGTGAACTCGACCTGAGGAACCACTGGATGCTGTTAAAAGGGCAACCTGTAATCCCAATCAAAGTTGCAGCGGTGGCGAGCTGACCCAGGAAGGGATGACATTTCTTTTCAGAACAGAGAATTGGAAGGACGAAGGAAGAATGCCCATGTAGCACTGTGTCTTCCCGTTCATTGTGTTATGGGGTTAGATCACAGTGGACCATAGGCCTGAACCAGTTATGCATTGCCCAAACATAAGACCCCCAGCTAGCTCAGCTCCTGGCTATGGGGGGATTTGACACCAACAACCCAATAGCAAGCCTTCTGAATGAGTAAGGCGCAGTGCTGACACCCCAGTTAATCCCCATCATTTCTTTATAAGTCAGCATGGAAGGATTAGATTTTTATTGGTAGGTGTCAGTAAAGATCAATTTCGCCGTACACACCCAAACCGGCGAAAAAAATATTTCCATCAACAATAATCAAAATTCACAGACAGGCACAGGAAGAAACATGCTGCCTGAGCACTTGGCAGAGTTTGATTTGAGGATAGTGACTTTGGCTATTTTGACATGTGATGCTGACAATTTGTGTTGTAATGGTTATCAAGCTTTCATTTTTTGAATCTCAACATCCACTGTCATGAAATAATTATTGTTTGACCCTCCCCATTGACTGACACCCCCATAACTTCCCACAACTGTAAACGTTTAAATGAATAAAAAATAAAAATGCTTAAAAATAAATATGAACACAGTCGGCTGAAATTATAAAATAAAAATAAAATTCTGCCAAGTCTATTTATAAGGCTGGTGGCCAAGTTGCAAAGCATTGAGACTTGCTGTGGAGGATTGGGGAGTTGGGGGGGGCACTCTCGAAGTACCAACAGAGAGGGGAGAAAATCCACAGGAGGAATACCTCTGTTCCCACAATGAGCTTCCCATGTGACAAAGCACAGTACGCACAGAAACAGAGATGGAAGCACTTCCAATGGATAACAGAGAAGGTAACACAGTGAGAAAACAAACAGGATCCCTTCTCATTATTGAAGTAAGACAGGTATTGTATAGCACAAGCACAGAGGATGCAGCCCCACCTGCTCTGGGGCTGGAGCCCTGCTGCTGGAAATGGAAATAAGGCAGAACTTCAATGAATCACAGGGTAAAATTCTGCCCTGATTTCTACTCAAAAGAGGTTACAGGATCTTTCTAGCAAGATGGCTGCAACCAGGCTGACTTGGATCCACTCCACACTTCCTTGTAAATCAAACAAAAAACCCTCATTCTCCCAGATTATCAGAGTTGAGGACCAGATCCTCAAAGTATTTAAGCACCTAACTCCCATTTCTGCTCAGACTGCCTACAAAGAGGTGAGTCAGGGCCAGTGGCAGTGGAAGGTTGATCTGAAAATTCATCCAGAAATAGAAACTGGACTCAGACCAGCAAATTATCTCACAGAGGCTAACAGGAGGTAACAACTTTCCTCTAGATTTGAAGCAGCCACCTAGAAATGAAGGGCTTCATATCTCATCAACCATGTCCTGAGGATTGGTCCTGGAATTACCATGAATTGTCATGCAGAAAAGAAACATCAGAGCAGTGCTATCTGGGGAAGCAGCTGTGGAGGCTGTCCCATGGAGTGAAGTCTGTGGGTTTACGTGAGTATTACGGCACCAGCACAGGACAATTTCAACAGGGTAACAATTAATATGATTAGTCACCTTTTCTAACTGTTTAAACATGACACTGGTCTTTGGAAGCCCTGTGGAGATGTGACTCACCAAAGATGCCTCACACAGGCAGCTGGATCGTATCATCAAACAACGGTTCTGGGTGGATTCTCCACAACAGAAGCCGGCACAAAGCTGATCCTGCCCTGGAATACTAAATCTTTTGGCACTTGCAAGTGTTCCCTCACGAGATGAGCAAACCCATTCGGATCAAAGGCAAAGCAGCCCAAAAATCTCCCCCTCAATTCAAAACAAGCCTGAAATTCGGTGGAGTTTTTCAGCTTTTGACAGTGGTGCATTTTAATTGTCACGGGGCCTCTGGACGTCGTGATTCTACCCAGGCTAGGACCCCACTGTCTTTTTATAATTTTTCAGGGTAGAACTGCCCTTCAAGGCTGGAGGTGAGTTTGAGCTGTGACGTTGAGATGTGATCTGAGTTTGTCCAAAGAATTTGGAATTCAGTATCTCAGCGTAACTGCCAGGTGAATGTTTGTTACAGGTCCCCTTCTGTGTGCAATACACAGAGGAAATGTGTTAGTTACAGCCCCATGTAGGGAGCTTTAGTTGAGCTATTGCAGCTCTCTGAGCTCCCAGTTCAATCTTTGGTGTCAAGCTGTTTTTTATGTAATAGTTAGTGGGCTCGATTCTCAGTGGTGTAAATCTCTCTATCTGAGGTAGATATCTGGCCCCCCATTACTATCATGTCTGAGCACCTCACAATTTTTAACATATTGCTCCTCACAACACCTGAGAGGCAGGGCAGTGCAATTCTCCCTATTGTACAGGTGGGAAGCGGAGCCAGAGGGAGACTAAGTGATTTGCCCAAGGTCACACAGGAAGACTGTGGCAGAGCATGGAATTGAACCCACGTCTCGGGTGAGTGTCCTACCCACTCTTCCATCCAACCTGACCCATTGGCATGTTATTGTCCTGCTTCTCAGGGTTTTTAATGGAACGTGAGTAGCAGCTTGTGACCAGAGAGGGGAGAGCAGGCCAGCGGCATGGAACAGGCATGGAGATGTCTGCGGATGACAGAGACATGGAGGCTGCATATACTTCAAACATACAGGAGCGTAAGACCATTATCCAGGCTCCCGTTAAATATCATGCATCCATTTTCATGCCATTATTATGGGTTCAATTTAATCTGAGGAGGAGAAATAACCGAAGTTCTGTCCTTACCACTATAGACTGTGTATTATTCTGCAACTTGACAATTGCGTTTTCAGCGGACTTCAGTTTCCAGTCGTACTCTGCTTGGGTCTGCAGAAGTTCACTCTGTGAATGGATGAAGCAGGTGTTAACAATCCACTCTCTCAGTGATCAGACAGAATAGCAGAGAGGCGGTTGTGAAACTCTATAACTGATTTTTGGTTACCCAAAGCAGCCAGCTGGAACCCATGCCACTTCCCACAGACAAGAGCAGTCCACGGACTCACAATACTCTGGACAGTTTTATTAGCTTCTGTCTGATCTGGGGAGTGTGTCATTTTTTCCAGCAACACAATAAATTAGAAAATGCTGTCTCTGCAGCTCCTGCTACCTTCAGTGCCTGGGAAAGCCTATGACAGTAACAGAAACAGCAAATAAAACATCCTTGGTCACACATGGCTGCAGTAACTAAGCCCTAAGAAGGTTAGTCATCCAGAGCAGTGGAAGGGAAATGTCAGAATCCAAATCAATGAGTGGGGAAAATACAAGAGCCTGGGGTTTGGATTTTGCCTTGATCTTTCATACAAAGACTAGGAACAGATGGAATGGTTAACAAACGTAAAACCAATCCCTCCACCCCACCCAAATCTTGGAACATTTCTAGACCCAAATTTGAAGCAAAAATTTTCAAGGTTCTGAAAGAAGTTCCCCTCTCACTTATAGGGTGACCAGATGTCCCGATTTTATAGGGACAGTCCCGATTTTTGGGTCTTTTTCTTATATAGGCTCCTATTACCCCCCACCCCCTGTCCCGATTTTTCACATTTGCTGTCTGGTCACCCTACTCACTTCTAGGGTCTGAGTCTGCTCTCATTTATACTGGTCGTCACACTTGTTTAACTCCATTGACTTCAGTGGAGTTACTCCAGATTTACATCCATGTAGGTGAGAGAAGAACCAAGACCCTTGGTTCCCACATGAGTCAGAATGCTAAAAATCTCACAAGAAAGGCTGTTCTCATGACTTTTCCAGAGCAATTTTGAAGACCCCATAGATTCAGAGAAGGAGCCAAAATTTGGTTTATCCAGACCAATTCTAAACTCCAAATCTTCTGTGGTTCAGCCAGGAGTAACAAAAACAAGAGAGTCTGGTTATTTTAATGAAAAGTATAATTACCTGTGGAACTCTCTGCCACAAGATACCAAAGACAAAAGCTTAGTTAAATTCAAAGGAGTATTAGACATCTATAAATAAGACCGTGTGCAGTTGTGTGAGATTACTCAGCACCCAGCAGTTCCTACTGGTTACAATGGGAGGTGTTAGGCACTTTTGAAAGTGTAACCTCTTCACTTAGGTGCCTAGATGGGATTTGAGCTCCATTGGAAATCTGATCCTATATGCCTGCAACAAAGCTGACTGTTCCTCAAAGAGTACCCTGGGTGACTCAGAATTTGGTACCCCAATAAAATAAGCAATAGGGATTATTCACCAAAGCATCCTAGCCTTTGGTCCTTTGAGTATCTGCCAGGCCCTATGCATCAAAAGAGAAATATATTCCACAGCACATTCCAGGCCACATATTTTGTCTTTGTTGCAACCAGTCCCCAGGAGGAATGGTATTGAGTGTGTGAATGGTATTGAGATTTGGGAGGTTTTAGATAAAGGAAGAGCGGGGAAAGAACCTGCTGACTGCAGGATAACAGAAAAGGGGTTAAATTCAGACTGGCTCTGAACGCTTTGAAGTCAATGGTGGAAAAGGGGAGCAGGAGAAGGGGGTTGGGACTTCAAGATGCTAACCGGAAACCTCTAACTTCAAAAATAGACTCTGGCTGTCAGATCCCAAGATGGCATGTCAGAACAAGAGCAAAGGTTACTTCATAGATGCGGTAAGGACAACTGGGAACCACGTCTCCACCCAGTATCCAAGCTATGATTCACTGCAGCTGCCAGGACATATACTTTACTCACAGCAACGGCCTAGTCACCAAGGGTGGATACAAAGTAGGAGAGGAGAGAGGCTCCTCGGGGAGAATCAAACGGGAAAATGGGTTCCCTTACCCACAAGTCCAATCCTTCCTCATGCAAGCCGTCTTGTATTAGTAAGGATGACACCTACAAGTAGGGACTGCAGGATCATGCCCCTTCCCCCAACGCCTTCCCCGCCTTATCCACCTAAATGTGTCATAGGGTAAATTTATCTAAAGCACCTAAGTAACTTGGGCCCCTAGGTCACAGTTTCAAAAGTGACTCGTGGCCAGGTTTTGAAAGGGATTCAGGCACCTAAAGAGACAGGTAGGTGCTTAGTGGAATTTTCAAAAGCACCCAGGCACTGAACTCCCACTGAAATCCCCCCAAACACCTAACTGCATCTTTAGGCCCCTAGAAACCTTTCAAAAGTCACTTTTGCAAATGGGACTTGGGCTCCTGAATCCCGTAGGTCATTTAGAAAATTTTATCCATAACAAAAAGACCAGAGTACTAACATGAAATCGCCCATTTGATTCTCACATACCATACCAAAGCCGGGTTGTTTGGGGGGGACGGGGACGACAGGTTATAGGCATAACTAGAATTCCCTTTATAAAGCTTACACCACTGAGACACACCACTGGCTCATTTTAAACCAGGAAACCTTTAGCCCATTCACAGATAAATCAACAGCATTTTTAACAAACCTTCCAGTGCAGGTACTGGCAACAGCTACAGCTCCTGGAATGGAGCCCATTTCCCCCCAGCTGGGAGTGGGAAGGGAAGGTAAACACAGGCTGCAAAGGGCACAGATTTGTATCTCACTCAGTATAGGAAGAAAAACTCCATGTGCAGTGTAAATACTGTAAGCCCGTACACACCTATATACTCCCCAAACCAGAGTCTTTCACTGCTACACATTACACAGTGGTGCGCTCTAGGGTCAAATCCTGGAGCCTTTACTCAGTCCTTACCAAGTCAGTGGGCCCGATTCATCCCCTCACCGGGTTGCACTCCTTTGTGATTCTGTTGAGCCCAATTCTGAGCTTGGCACAGGGAGAAGTGGTGACACACAATCTCGAGCCCTGGAGAACCAGGCCCATTGATGTTAATGGGGTTACTCCTGCTTTACACCAGTGTGAGTGGTGGTTTTGACAGGGCAAACCTGAGTAAAGACTTGAGGATTTGGCCCACAGCCAGGGACAACAAATCCCTGTTTGCTATAAAGTACAAGTAACTCATTAATGAAACCAGGCGCCCTACAGGGCTACAAATCAGACAGGTCCCAGGGCTCCTCTCCCTTATCGCAGCTTCAATCAGGAGTAAACCCACTGATGCCAACAGCGTAAGACCAGTGTATAAAGGCTGTGAGTGAGAAGGCCCTGGGCCCCACGCTGCCTCTATGCCCCTCTGCATCCTGGATCACTCTGTACCCCAAAGAACACCAATAAATACCAGGCAGTGACACACCTCATTGTCCTTCCTGGCTGCCTCACAGGTGAGCAAGTTGTGCCCCTTGTGCTCTTCGGCCAGGCACTCCTCACAGACACACACCAGGTCAGTCTGGCAGAACCACCCCAAGTGGCCTTTGTGAGTCTCACAGGTCTGCAAGTCAATGTCCTTTGCGGGGTCCATCAGCTTGTGGCTCCGCAGCTTGCTGTTCTCCAGGTGAGGCCGGAGGTGGTCCTCGCAATAATTCACCATGCAGGTCAAACAGGACTTCACAGCCAGGACCTTCTGGGCCATGCAGAAGTCGCACAGGATCTCTTGCCCATCCTCCAAAATGTTCCCCTGCTCCAGAAGGCCAGGCTGGCCCATTGCCATCTCAGAGCCATTTACAATCAAACTGCCCTGCAGGTCAGGTGCTGGGCTAGTGGCTTCTGGGCTTTCACGGCCATTCAACTCTTCACCCTCAGTTTTCTCACCTGGGAGGTCATTGCCCTCACAGACCTTGTGCCCTTTTGCCTTAGTGACAGGGCCACCTAGTACCAATTCCTGGGGCAGCCCTTCTGGAGCAGCGGGGCCACAGTCAGCCATTTCTGAGCTCCTCTGCCTTCCAAGGAACACACACTGTAACTGCCCAGCGCAGGGGGAATGAAAGAAAGTGACACACCTGAACTCACCCAACTGCCTGCAGCTGTTAACTCTTTCCAGCCTTTCAGGAAGTAGGAGTGCAAGCAGAGCCAAGAAGCCAACAGTGAGTGAGTTTGTTCTGCGAATGACAGGCTGTGTGAGCTGTAGATAAATGCTGCTCCTTACAGCTGTCCCTCTGTCTCATATCTACAACCTTCCACCCGGACTTGCTGTCCTCTGTACGTCCAGCTGGGGTGGCTGGAAAGTTGTTGGTTTTTTTCACTCAAATGGAAATTTCAAATTTTCATCAGGAACCAAGAAAAATTCAACTGAAAATAAACAAAAAATTGGTTTTGGGGTTTCCAACAAAAAATCAAAAATTTTCAAGCAAAGGAGACCCTTTCTGCAGAAACATTCATTTTGTCACATACCCCGATTCCCAATGAAAAAAAGTGTTGATGGAAAATTTTCAACAAGCCCTCCCTGTAGCCTGACAAAATGTACTATTAATAGTGAGCCAAACCCTAGTGTTATTCCATGGCACAACTGTTGAAGGGTCTAAATCTTCATGCCCTGATGAGTTTTTTATTCAAATGGAATTGTGACTGAGCCAGGACTGACTAAAATCTGAGTGAGACTGCCAGGATTCGGCCCATTAATCATATTTAATACTTGTAGGTAGGCACACTTTTCATCTTGCAACCACTGAACTACTTCTCTCTGAGAGGCTGAGTTATCGGGCAGAGATTATTTAAATCCACATGCCCTTTGGAATCTTTCTGCACAAAATATTAGCTCGTGTCCTTCATTTTGGCTTTTAGACCCTCCTTTGCTCATGAGCAACACAGCCAATACAGTTTAAGTCCCAGTTTTATCATGTGAGCACTGGAGGAATTTGCTGCACTAAATGGAGATTTTTTCCTGTGTTCCCCTTCCTCTGTTCAGAAAGGCAAGGCTGAAAAAAGTGAAACTGGTTCTTCCAGTCGATGGTGGAGTTGTGAAATAAGGGAACTTCCACTCAGGTGTCATCTCTTTTTTGGCATGGAGGAAGAAGATGGTGATAGGCATCTTTGGTGACTCCAGGATGGTTAGCATCATGCCTCTATATCTGAGGCAAAACTATTTAGGGGGTTGGGGAGTTATCCTTTGCTATTGTAAAAGTCTCATAGACTTTAAGGTCAGAAGAGATCATCATGATCATCTAGTTTGACCTGCACATTGCAGGCCACAGCACCTCACCCACAGTACTGGGTTTACCATGGCGCCAGTGGCACCGGGCCCACAATCAGAAGGGGCCCCGGCCAGCCTGATCCCCTGGCCGGCTCAGCCGGCCAGGAAAGCTGCCCCCGCCCTGCTTCTTCCCCATGGCCCCCACCCCTGCCACCCCTGCTCCGTCCCAGCCCTGCATCCACTCCACCCCTTCCCCCCAAGTCCCCTCCCCTGAGCTACACATCCCGGGGAACTGCAGCGGGGGTCGGGCCCGCCCTGCAATCACCAGGCGGCAGGAAGTGGAGTGACCCGGCCCCAGCCCGCTCTGCCGGTGAGTGCTGGGGGTTGGTTTCCCCCCTGCCCCTCAAGCCTGGGGAGGAGATGGAGCAGTGGGGAAGGGGCATGGGATGGTGAAGAGAAGGGGGCAGGGGAAACGAGGCAGTGGGGACAAAGGGGGTGGGGTGGGGTGGGGAGGAGATGGGGCAGTGGGGAAGGGGCATGGGATGGGGAAGAAAAGGGGGCGGAGGAAGCGGGAGCATGGGGGAAGCTGGAGCCCAGCATGCGGCATCCCCTTGGCAGAAGCTGGGGCTTCCCTGTTAAGCAGGCCCATCGAACCCTCCTCCCCTGCATCTGTACCACCCCGATGAACCCCCCCAGACACCCTCCCCACTGAGCCCCAACCACCTGCACCTGGACCCCCACCCAAATGAACCCCACCTCCCCTGCACCTAGACACCCCCTGCTGAGCCCCAAACACCTTCACCTGGATCCCCTGCAGAGTCCCATTGCCCCTGCACTTGAAACCGCCCAATGAGGTTCTGTGCATCCAGATCTCCCACTGAGCCGCCCACGCCCAGATTGCCCCACAGAGAACTCTCTTACCCCCACCTGGATCCCCCCACACTAAGTCCCTCTGTACTTGGATCCTGCTGCCGGGCTGAGCCTGCTCACCCACACCTGGTGTCATAAACATACAGCTAAGGGTAGCATAAAATCCGTCTTTACCCTGTAAAAGGTTAATTACTCTTTTACCTGTAAAGGGTTAAGAAGCTCAGATAACCTGGGTAGCACCTGACCAAAAGGACCAATAAGGGGAGAAGATACTTTCAAACCTGTGGGGGAAGGTTTTTTGTCTGTGTCTCCTGGAGTCAACAAGGAAACAGGGCAGAGAAAATACATCTCCCTAAGCCATAGAATTTCAGGTTTGGAAGGGACCTCAGGAGGTCATCTAGTCCAACCCACTGCTCAAAGCACGACTAATCCCCAGACAGATTTTTGCCCCAGATCACTAAATGGCCCCCTCAAGGATTGAACTCACAACCCTGGTTTAACAGGCCAATGCTCAAACTACTGAGCTATCCCTCCTCCTGTAACTAAACTAACCATCTAGTCTTGCAAAAATAGTAAGTAATAGCAAAGAAATGCATTAGATTACCTTTGTTTTATCTTGTGAATTTTCCCTGTGCTAAGAGGGAGGTTTATCCCTGTTTTTGTAACTTTAAAGTTTTGCCTAGAGGGGAAATCCTCTGTGTTTTTTAAGTCTTTTGTTATTCTGTAAAGTACTTACCCTCCTAATTTTACAGAGGTGATTCTTTTACATTTTCTTTAATTAAAATTCTTCTAAGAACCCGATTGATTTTTCATTGTTCTTAAGATCCAAGGGTTTGGGTCTGTGTTCACCTGTACCAATTGGTGAGGATATTATTCTCAAGCCTTCCCTAGGAAAGGGGGGTGCCGGGCTTGGGGGAATATTTGGGGGGATTAGGACTCCAAGTGGTCCTTTCCCTGATTCTTTGCCTAAATCACTTGGTGGTGGCAGCATGCTGTTCAAGGCAAGGTGGGATTTGTGCCTTGGGGAAGTTTTTAACCTAAGCTGGTAAAAATAAGCTTAGGGGGTCTTTCATGCGGGTCCCCACATCTGTACCCCAGAATTTGGCACTGGTCCCACAAAAAGTTAATCTGGCCCTGCTCACCCACCCACTCCTGTAATAGATCCCTAACCTCTGGCTGAGTTATGGTTTAATCATGGTTTAAAGACTTCAAGTTACAGAGAATCCACCATTTACACTAGTTTAAACCTGCAAGTGACCTGTGCCCCATGCTGCAGAGGACGGTGAAAAAAGCCCAGAATTTCTGCCAATCTGACCTGGGGGAAAATTCCTTCCCGACTGCAAATATGGCAATCAGATAGACCCTGAGCATGTGGGTAAGACTGACCAGCCAGACATCTGGGAAAGAATTCTCTGTAGTAACTCAGAGGCCTCCCCATCTAGTGATGAGGGGCAAACTCTCTTGGGAAGGGGAAATCATTATGGTGTGCAACCTGTTCTTTTCAAGGTTTTAGAGATTTTTTAAAAAGATATTAAGATAATGTAGTGTGAATATAGGTGCGAGTGCTAAGATATAATATGATGCCTTTCGTTGTGGCTTGTAAATATTCTATATTAAACTTATACATAGGGATCATTCATCCATCACCAACATGCAGCCACCTCTTAGGTGAAGCACAGCAGCTGTTTAACAGCTGCAGGCTAAGACAGGAAGGGATGAAGAATATTGAATCCTATGGTAACTTCCCTGGGAATTCCAGGATGGAAGAATGTAGCTACCCGAGCTGGTATCTGGCTGAGACACTGGGGTTAACAACATTTCTACTCCTTAGAAAAGTGCTATGGGGCTGAGTCAGGAGCTGGGGCCCGATCCTGCCAAAGTGTGTCCAAATATGCAATACCTACCGCTGGCTGAACTCCTCGAGGGATAGGTTAGATTAGAAACAGAGGGGTCTTAGGAGAGGATGAAAACCAGGCATAGCTGTGCCCCAATAGGGACCTCCCACCTACCCCTATAGGGGCACAGCTATGGATTTCCCCTGGCCCTTCTATCCGCTGCACCTAATTCAGTGTGGGAGGGTTATGGATGGGAGTGGAGGTGAAGAAAGCCACTGTGGGTTCAGGATACAGTTGTGCAGCTCATCATACACTGTGAGGCTGGGGCAAGGCTGTGACTTTCCTTGGCTTCAGTGACTCTTTTCTTTACAGATGTTCGCTAAAGAGGCACTACGGGGGGCTCCCAGCTCAGGGAGAGCAAGAGCTCCCCTTCTTCTTCCATTTGGCCCAGGACGGAGCGAGTGAGACACAAACCCCCTTTGCACAAGCAGAGGCTCCAGGCTGTGGGAAGAGTGACCCTGCTTCCTTTTCACCCTGGGAGCTGCCGGCTCTAACATGGACTCTCTTCTGCTGAGTGTTGCTCAGACACAAAGCCCAGACTCCTGCCTCAGGGGAGGGATCAGGTGAAATGCTGGGAGAAGCTGTGGGACTCCACAGAGAGACAAGCCATTGCTAGGGGTCGCTTGGGCCCAGGAATAGGCTCAGCTCTCTTGAAAAAGCTCTGGGTATGTCCACACAGCAAAAAAACCCCACGGCAACGAGTCTCAGAGCCCGGGTAAACTGACTCGGCTCACAGGACTAACGCTTCAGGGTTAAAAATAGCAGTGTTGGCATTTGGACTCCAAGACCGTTCCCCGCGCCTGGTTTCAGAACCCGGGCTCCATCCAAACCCAAATGTCTACACTGCTATTTTTAGCCCTGCAGCATGAGCCCATGTCAGTTGACCCAGGCTCTGAGACTGGCTGCCGCGGGTCTTTGTCTGCTGTGTAGACGAACCCTAAGTCATGGAGCAGAAATGGGACCTTTATTGGGTCCCTGCTGCATTGAGCTGAATGGCTATATGAGCAACTCATGCCCACAGACCTGTGTGGCAACAG